AGAGGACATCAAATATCATCTGTGTAGATACAAAAGCATGTCTACACAAGATGCCCCAGCATCCCCTCCAGATAGATTTTAATAGTGTCCAAAGTTGCAGAATCCATCACTTCCCTGGGGAGATATTCCAATGGCCAATTTTTCTGTCAAAATTTTTCCTCTTGCATCCAATTGGAATCTCCCCAGCAGTAACTTGTACCTATTACCCCTGTTCTTCTCCATGGGACTCCTCCTTAAAAGAGAATCTTCATCTTTTCTATAGCCACTCTTTAAATACTGAAACAGAGGGACAAGGTCTCCCCTGTGCCTTCAAGCTCCGAAAAAACCAGTTCCCTCAGCCTTTCTTCACATGGCAAGCTTCCCAGGCCTTTGATTGTCTTTGTGGGCCTTCTCTGGACCCTCTCCAGCCTGTCCACATCTGTTTTGTACATGAGGGACCAAAACTGAATACAGTGCTCCAGCTGAGGCCTGATAAGCAGTGAGTAGGGTGGGATAAAGCACTGAGCAAAGTGGGATAATTCTTCACCTCTACTGGTGAAGCCCTTGTTGCAGCCACCCATCATTCTGTTGCCTTTCTTTGCTGCAGGAGCACACTGGTTACTCAGACTGAGCTGCCTGTCCACCAGGATCCCCAGCTCCTTTCCCACACAGCTGTTCCCAAGTCAGGTAGATCCTAGCCCGTGCTGCACTCCTGGATTATGCTTTCCTGGATGCAAGACCTTACACTTGTCTTTGTTGAACTTAACACTATTCTCATTAGCCCACTCTTCCATCTTATCCAGATCTTCCTGCAGGGTAGCATTCCCTACCCAAGCATCCACTTCCTCATGTAGTTTGTTATTACTGGAAAACCTCATCAGGGGACACTTGATCCCATCTTCCAGATCACTCATGAAATGTATGAAATAGTGCTGAACCCCATATCAATCCCTGGAGGACCCCACTTGTTGCTGGTTTGAACAGGAGTGATTTCCCACACCACTTTGGGTGCCATGGGTCAGCCAGGCCCCACTCACCAGACAGACCACTTGTCTAGACCGTAATGCAACAGTTTCTCCAGAGAGGCTGTGGAAAGCAGCACCAAGAGCCGTTTCGAAAGCCTTGGAAAAATCCAGGTAAACAACGTCCACCACGCACCCCACATCAATTGAGCAGGTTACTGTGTTGTAGAGGGTGACCAGGTTTGTTAAGCACAATTTGCCCTTGGTGAAACCATGCTGCCTTCTCCCACTCATTCACTTCATCTGACATTTGATAGCCCCCAGGAGGATTAGTTCTGTAACTTTGCCAGGGACAGCAGTAAGACCAATGGATTTATTTCCTGGACCCTCCTTTAAGTCCTCCTTGTAGATGGGGACGACAATAGTCTTCCCCCAGCCTTCTGGGACATCCTCTGACCTCTGCAACTTCTAAAAGATTATGTAGAGCGGCCTCACAATGACATCAGCCAGCTCTCTAGACAACATTGAGGGGATATTGTAAGGGGTCATCAAATTGTAGGGTCAACCTCCTGTAACAGCTCACACATCAACTCTGCCTTCATTGACAGTAGCTCTGTGTTTGCATCAGCCTGGATTTTTGTTCCTCATACCAGTGCTGGTAATGACAGAGGTGAAGAACGTGCTGAGAACTTCTGCCTTTTCAGCACTGTTGGTACTGATTCACCTCTCCTGCTCAACAGCAGGCCAATATTTTCCTTCTGTTTCCACTTGTTGTTTATGTATCTGAAGAACCCTGCTTGTGGTTTTTCACATCTCTGGCCAATTTCAACTAAAGCTGAGCTTTTGCTTTTCAAACCAGATATATGCGCACCCTGAGAATGCCCTTGTAGCTTACAGTGGGTAATCGCCCGTGAAGAAGATAATATGTGATTTGCCAACATAACTCTTGCCATTTCAGCCTGTGCAATTGTTGTAATTTGAGAATTTACAATGCCCAGGCTTTACATATGCTTTGGAAGAATCCAGGTAGGACTTTCCACTTGAGACGGACTTTTTTGTCATGAAACCTATGAACAGTTTCGTAGTGTATCTCCTTCCGTCCAGGAGATAGTCTGTGAGACACAATTATATGACTAAACCGGATTTTTCTCTGGTGAGCAGATAAATCTTTCCCTGTAATGAAGACTCATTTTTCTGTGATCCTAGATAAATCTTGCAATTCATTACCCAGTTCACTGTGTTTTCTCAGTGATCACTATTAGTTTTCAGTAACAACTGAGGGTGGGGTTTGGTTGTGTTTTTTTTTCTTCACAGAGTGTATCTCTCATAAAGGGTCAAGAATTCTATTTTCACACACCTTTGGGGGAAACCCCACCTTTTTAACATGTCATGTCTTCACCACACCAAGCTTACCCTTGCATGCTATATTTATGTTTTACCTAGGTGAGAATATCACATCCCTCCTTTTTTTCTCCTAAAAAAACGGATCCACTGCATTCCAACTCAAATGTCATATTATCTTTCTATTCAGATTGAACAGATCATTTAGGAAGACCTCTTCCCTTTTTGTGTTCATGGCAGAGAGGTTCCTAGGTACAGCTCTACTAAGAGTTTATTGCACTGGATAGCTGATGGCTAAAATTAAACCAATTTGTGATTTACACCATTTCCATAAGAAGTCCATCAAACCTAATGTCATTCCTAGGGAAAGAGAGAGAGGAAGGCCAGCCATCTTAGACTTAATCCACAGTTTTATCAAGGATTTACGTGGTTAAGTTCTTAAGAGCCATCCTAGACCAGAATTCCTTTTCCAGGTTAAGGGGGACTGCTGAATGTCTCCAGCAGAGTAAGGTGAATACAGAAAACAACATGAAGGAAAAAAGCAGTTGATTTCCCAGTAAATAGAAAGATCTTCAGATGTGGTTTATATCTTTTTGCAGATTCATGCTTGTTCAATCTTTCTCTTGCTCACCATCTTCCAGAAGAAATGGTGGAAGGGCCTGTGGCTGGGCTTATCCAGGGTTTACCATGATTGACAGGAAAGAGAAGGACCCTGTTCCTGTAGAAATAGATTAAGGCATAAACACGCTTGGGCAGAAGCATATTCCTAATGTGAATATGTATACAGACAACATATCTGTAACACCTTTCAACTTCTGATGGGTTTCCTTTTCTGTAGAGAATGAGTTTCTTTGTATAAAAATAACATTTCATTCTAAGAGAACAATGCTATTGTTTGCACTATATTAACTAATATTTTACAGGTAGCTGATTCAAACCCTGTCATTTCTATGAGTCTTAACTCTGAATTTTCAATAGGATAAAATTCTTTTACTTCTTGACGAGGCTTGAAAAACAAAACCACACTTAAAAAAACTTACCAAAGTGAATAAGATGTGTTTCTTTTGGTGTATTGTCTCAAAACACAATTTGCAATGTCAGAATATGCTGACTTGGAAGGGACCCACAAGGATCATAGAGTCCAACTCTTAGCCCTGCACAGGACCATCCCCAAGTGTGCTTTCAGACACTTCTCATTAATGTTTTAGGCCAAAACTCTTTCATGTTTATAGAATCACTTAGTCCTTGTAAAACCCTTCTATTACTAACAATATTCATAACATCATATACATTATTTGGCTGTAAAAATCTGACTAGATTTCTGATATTTTGACACATTTTGGTAGTAACTTATCTTGGATGTTGAGCCATGACTGGTTTTTAGCAAATAAAAGGACAAATACAAATTGCTCATTTCTTTACCAAGTGCTTTTTGCTTTTCCCAATTTTAAAGTATACATCTCAGCTAATGTGTTGACTAAATTCCAGATGACAGTAACACTTCAATGAAGAGGTGTGGAAGAAGGAGGGACAAGAAGCTTTGTGCCTTACAGTGAGACCAATCAGAAAATAACAGCTCTGCAAAAAGACATCATCTGTTAAAACCTAACTGAAATCTGGAAATCCAGAGGAGACAATCCAATGAAGAAAAAATAACTGTCTAGTCAAAAATCCCATTTGTAACAATAACTTGGGGATGTTACTCAGTTTCTACTTTCTACAGAGAAAAACAATGTCTTCTTTAACAAGAAATCAAAGAATGAATTTATCTCCTGTCACATGGCAAAACATGTCTGCTCAGTTTTCTTACAAAAGTTTGTAAATCCCGCAATTATGCAGTTAAAGACAACTATGTCAGGCTAAAATGTTTGCTTAATTTAAAAGTAAATTTTCCATTTGCTTTTGTTTTCCATTAGTGTTTTAGAAGGCAAGAAGTCCTTGGCAATGAATTACATTTGGCAGTTTTACACCTCTCCCCTGAATAAACATGCAATAATTTTTTTTGCTAAGATTTGATTTACAGAATTGTAGTTTTAAAAGGAAAGAGGCCCAGGAGTCAATCTGATTACATTTCACCCAGTTACTCTGAATGAAATCTAAACCATTGTGTTTGGTGAACACGTATCTCCTGAAAAAGCTTTCACTTCTCTTGATTTGAAGACATTGAGAAATGACAACCCTAACTATTGGGACAAACTGCTTAGAAAGTTGTTTGTCTTCTTCACTCTTAAAAATGCTGTTATTTTGTCTTTGAAATGACTGGCCTCAGATTCTGGCTGACATTCTCCTTCTAAGGACTAAAGAGCCTTTACTATATAATGGCAATACCTAGAGACTGTAAGTCTCTGTTCTTTCTCCAGTTTCCATACTGGATCAAACAGCAGGTTGATTTGATACAATATCCTATCTCTAGCAGTGGCTAAAAGCAGATGCCTAACAGAAATATGAATAGGGCTGCAATATATGATATTTTCTTCAATATTCTTCAGATTTCCACTCCCTACTTTGTAGGATCTTGATGAGGATGAAAAGGGTTTTATGTATTTAAATACTCTCCACTGGCTTCTCTTGAAAGACTAGAACATGTTGAGTCTTATTTTGAACTCATATAGATGTATCACTTCTATTATGTGAAGTACACACCAAGTCCACACTCAGCAAGAAGTTCCACAACTTAACTTTATTCTACATAGACAACCACCTGTGTTCATTTGGAATAATAAGGCCTCCTATCCTCAGTTAAAAATCAGGATACCAAAATTGCATACAATACCTGATACGCTATAAAGAAGTAGCATCAATAACTCATTCTTAAGCAATATTCTTGCACTCATCCATCATGAGATTACCTAATCATTTTTTGCTATAGTCTCCTAGCAATTCAGATTGAACAGACTACTGTAACTAGCCTCTAGATACTTTTAGAGGTCAGTATTTTACAGAATACAGCCCTCCAACCTGTAGTTTTAAGCTACATTTTTAGATGCTAAAGGCATGTTACAAGTTCCTTTGCCCATGGTACAGAATTTTTTCATCTGAATACCCAAAGCTTTCTAACAAATCAAGGAATTCCCTGTGACTGCCTTTTTTGGTTAATTGCTTACAAGTTCTATCACCAACGATTCTATATTACAGTCCTGTGTGATGCCTGAGCGCTTAGATCACTGTTCAATGGTAATTCTATGCCATTAGGTACTCTAAACAGTTAGCTGTTCTTAATCCATTTTATATATCCTCTATTGATACCATATAGTGTTATTTTAAATGAAAAGAATGTGCACTGTGTCAAATACCCCTTACATAAATCACTTTACAATCACCTTCATCAGGCTTGTAATGGTCACAAAAAATTACATCTGGCTTGCCTGACAAAACTCTTTTTTCCTAAAATTGCTCACATTCTATGAATTATACTCATCGTTTAATTTTCCAGCAACAGAACCATATTTATGCTTTCCCACTGTTTTGCTGAAGTTGGATTTCAAGCTATGTGACCAATAGTAACAATTTGTTTTTTGTAGAACTCATGAGCACTGGTCTAGTATAATGGCATACGCCCAGTTAGCCCAAGATAACCAGCACTGGGAAAAAATCCCTCAATACTAATTTTTGTTTGTTTGTAAAGTACAAGTTACTCAACCCTATTCAGGCCAAAATGTTTTTTTCTTAGTAGGTATTGCTCAATATACTCCTCTTTTAATGGACTGGAAAGTACCCCACTGTTCTCACATGATATATCACATTCCTTCTTTGTAAATGCAGAAGAGAAAGCAAATTAAAAATTCTCTTTGTTATCATTTGCAATATTAGCATATTCATTCACTGAAGGCTCTCTAACACAAATGGGATTTATTTGTTCTTAATACACTGAGTTATACAAATTATTTGCTGTAATACTTTCATCTGTGCTTCTTTTCATTGACAGTCTTAGCCTTCTTTATAATTTTTCTCACTTTACAATTCCTCATTTATAACTATTTCCTACTCCTACTTCTCACTTCTGTTTTATTTTTAATTGCTGTTTTTACTGGTGAACAGATTGGTTCTTCTTAGTAAGAATTGTCCACAAATATTTTTAAGTTGTGAAATTGTGGGATTTGGGCCAATTGAATTTCAAAGACATATCACTTCTCATTCACATTTTTTTCCAGTGATTTTACTCATTGGTTTTCTTAACAGTGAAATTTTTAACCTTTTTAATTCATCAGGAGTATAGCACAAGCAAGTATTGGTCAAGTCTATCCTCTGCTAATCAATACTGAACAAAATTAGGTCATGGTTCTTGGTTTCTAGGCAACAGCTAACTTCCAATTCATTTACTTAATTTGTCTTTATCCTAATTAGGTCTAAAATAGATTGACTGCTGTTTGGAACCACATCTTTGTATCAACTGCACTTTTACAAAGGCCAGTGATGATTAGCTCTACAGGATTTCCTTCACAGGCCCCACAAAATGAACTTCCCCCGTAACTTTCTTTCTTCCACTATGATAAACTATTATTTAAATATATTAATGAATACTAGTGAAATGAAAAATTAATATTCAGATGTCAGGAAGAAGTCAAGTAACAACCTGGTGCATAGTCTCATGTTCTTTCGCCTGCAAATAAGAATAGAAACCTAACCCCTTCAGGCATCTGTATTTCACTCAAATACCCTGCACTACCTCCAAAGGTACCTGGAAATTGTTTCATTTTTTCCAGAGAGAAGCTGAGATCTTGACCTTGTAATTCACTTGTTGCACTACCACAGTTTTACTTTCCCATACTAAATGACTACAGCCATTACAATTAGTTGCTGTCTGATCATTTGTTAAAACAGGGTTTAATGAAGTTGTTTATCAAAGTCAGCAGTTGACTAATCCAGATAACTGATTAAAATGAGGAACAGGGTTTTCTTCTGCAATGCTGTGATATTAATAAAATACAACAGAGAACTACAATGCTCTACTTACTTCTACAAACATTAACTCTCTAGGTCTTAATGCTCCCTTTATTAAGTCCGCATAACAACTAAAAGCCATCACGTCTCAGAGATTAAAGTTTAAACCTTCAGACTGTTTCTACCATTTAGGTTTGACCACATGACTTGCAAGCAACCCAGAAAGAGCCTCCATGCTGGACCCATGTCAGAAAACTAGCAGCAGGGGCTGCTGAGGCCATCACCCTGTGACCCAGCCACATGCTCAAACTATTCTGTCCTTTACAGTGAAGCAACAGAAACCATTGCCTACTACCCACTTACTCAGTGGATAATTGACACTCTCTCCTGAGTCTCCCATTTTACACTTGAAAATAATAATCCTAAACACAATGAAATTCTAAAAAGATACAATACTAAACCTGAAAAGGTGTAATTTTGTTACAGACAAAAATTACAAATTACTTTTTCTTTATTAGAGTGAATATGCAAAGTTGAATATTTAAACTTAGGCTTTTACAGTTTTGAAATTTAATTCAGTGGAAGCATGGGTTTAGCAACTCTAGAATAGGCTGGACTTACTGACACGGTTTCATGTATGTGATTGTTTCTGGTAGCGACAAGTCAATTAACTTATGTTTCTCGGGGGATTCTATCTCACTGCTTTAGAATAGTGTCAGAATAAGTTGTTTCCTATACAGACAAAAGTTTCATGCCTATGATGGACAACTGCAAAACCAGAAAAGATGTCTTTCTCCAAGTTATCTTTTCCATGCCAAGATCTGATATTTACAATAAAAAAATTATGAACATGAATTTCAAAGAACAACTTTGACTGGAAGGAAAAAAGTCATTTAGCCCAACCCTGATTTAATTCAGAAGGCTTCACGAAGTCAATATAAAACTTAGCAGACAAGTTTGCTATGTTATTATATTAAGATGTTTCATAAGCACTTTTGAACCCACTAGTCTTCTAGTTGAGTGCAGTTTTAGCTATAGGATGACCTGACTTAATTCTGATGCAGGCTTGCAGGCTGAAGGAACTGGATTCTACAAAAAAAAATTACAAAAAATCCATTTTTTTTTTGGAACAGGGGTAGAATATAACACTTTTAGTTACATTTGTGGTTACAATGTGGTTTAGTTTTTTCTCCTCCTTACACACATGGATATTTACCTGATGCTATTGTTACCATACAGCCATGTCGGCATTTTCATATATATGTAAAACCAGATATTCTCCTACACTTCAGTATCTTAGTTACTCTGTAACGTACAACAAACCAACGCACATACTAAAGAGCAGGAAAATAAAAAAGTTAATTGTCATCATTTGCATCAATACTGTTCTAAATCTAACTTTTAAATCACCACATGACTTTTTATCGTCACATATTTTTGTTTATAATTACGATATTTGCAATTATCCACCTTGATCCAAGACTGCTGATTTATACAGAGAAAGGTCTCCCTCAAGTGGAAATATGCCTACCAACTGTAAAATAAAAACTGAATTTTGCTTCTTAATAGAGGTCCCATTGCACAGATTTGCAGATTCATTTAGGGGAAGTATCACTATATTTTTTTATATGTCATAGTTCTCCAGAGCTATATTAGAGTGTGAAAGGAAAAAAATATGTTGGTAAGACAGAATCACAAGAATTTTAAATATGTATGAAAAGACAAGCAAAATACTTTCAAATCCAGTCAGAACACAACGGAAATTAGTCCAGGCAAAATTCACAGGTTTTGGGATAATCTTGCATCCATCAGTTTCTTTCCTTTATGGCTACGCTGAATACCATTAAAGGTGTTCTCACACATGTGATTTTCATGTATTACAGAAGAACTGTGGCCTAAAAGTGTGTCTATGAGAACTAGAACTGAGTTAATTACGTGGGCTGGTAAGACTGCAGAGTTGATCTGTTTTGGCTACGTCTAACTGCTGTGGTTAAAAAATAAGGCCTGTCACATTTTCCATTTCAGAAACTAATTAATCTCACTTTTTCCTCCTCGGTTTAAATGCTCTAAAAGAAAATCAAGAACTAAAGTTTCACCTGAACATTCACAATTATCAAGCTTTTCCCCCCTAAAGCAAATTGACATCTTTAACTCAAAGTGAGTGCTTTTAGTTTTCTTTTGCTAGAAAAAGAGGAAGTCTTTTGAGTTGACCAGGCACATTTCTTATTTCACTATTGAATGAAACAGTAAAAACACCAACCATGTTTACAGCTATTGTTCAAATGTCTAATCTGTATTAGATAGTAAACAAAATTAAAGCTTGTTCATATACATGCTGTAATACTAAACCCAAAGTAAGATAAGATATCCAAAATCAAGAAAAGTGCACTTGTAATTTACAGCTTTATTTGGATGCTGAGAGTTGCCTTGTAAAACTCATTTTTCCTGATCTTGCAGAAAACTTGCAGAATAATTCCTCAAATACTTTCACAGTCCCACAGCTGAAATCATTAAATGTATTGCACTTTTTTGTAGCACCTCTGCATGCTACACTGGAAAGGAATAGGAAAATTTTCAATTTACTTTTATCATTCCACAGGGAGACTGTATTTTGTTCCTTCTTTATTTGTATCTCAAAATACTTCACAAACCAACTGAAACCACTATAATTGCTCAATTACAACATTTCAATGCCGGTGTTGATATAATTTGGAAACCAAAGACCTGACTTGCGATCATCAGCAAAAACAAAGAAGTGGTGGAAGAACTGCTAAGGTCATAGATTTTGGCTGTTTTTTTTTTTTTTTTCTTTTTTAATTATACTATGTAAGTATATAAATTATATAAGAATTTAACATGCATCAGAATGAAGTCTAAAAGTATCACACAAACATCTCTGGTGTAAAACTTTTTGGGGCAGGTTCTCAATCTTGAAATTTGTCAGGAAGCTAGACTGAACCCAAAAAATAACAAAAACCAACACACTTCCTCTCCATTAGAGACACGAGTCAGTACAATAGAGAATACAGAGTAAGTATGAAACTGTTTCTTTTATTGCTAGTAGTGTCCTTTTTATCCCCTCCAGATTTAAAATTCACTCACAAGACACAATTTAAGTACATCTATTAAAAAAGAACCATGGCATCAAATCCCCATATTGATTAGTATTATTTCATAACAATTAAAAAGAATTGCCATCCAAATCCTCAGCTTCTACACACCTCAGTTTTTTCCCTGACGTGTTGAATTTTGTAGTCGTATGAAATTTTTTTTAAAAATCATATTTTTATTTTTACAATTAAAAAATTATCAAAAAATGACACAATTCGCCTAGAGTGAAACATAATTAAGATGTGAAATACACTGACATTTGCAGCTGTTCCATACTTATATGCCATTTTACTGAACACATAATCCCTTACTCAATAAGAAAGCTCTCTGGTTTGGTTTACGCTCCAAGAAATTTTGCAGCATAACCATTCCATCCAAAGATCCTCCAGGTTTCAGAATGAGGTTTCTGTATTTCATCCCAGCCTGAGGGAAGGTAAAGCAGAATGTTAATACTTCTTATCGTGCCAACTGCCTCTTTTTCTGTATTTTCTGCATATTTAAAAATCTACTTATGATAAAACAACTTTTCTCCTTCCAGATTTCATAACATAAAATCAGGATACACCACAAGTATAATTTAGATCTGCTGGAAGAACTCAAGAGAGCAGAAATTCAATCAGTTCTTGAAGATATTATTTTTCTTGTGGTTTTTACACTGCTTTGGAAGCTACAATTATAACTTGTCTGGAAGACATTCTATATAGCATAACAAACATACATTCTCCTCAAAATCTCCACTGATGGTTTATCCCTATGACTGACTGGAAGGGAAAACCCCATCTTTTCTCTTTTAACTGATTTCTCTTTCTTTAATCTCTGTTTGGAGAACAGAGATGATACTCCAGAGAAAGCTATAGTATTGTAGAATGACATACACATATGCAATACATATTATATGCATAGTAGTATATATAATACATGCAAACATGTAATGAGACTTAAATCAGATTTTAGTTTCAGGAATAAACATTATTGCTTCAGAAGAAATGGATTCATCTTAAAATATGAATGAAGTTTCTGAGACAACAGGAAGTAATGAGGAGTTTCTTAATAAGAATTTGTATTTTAAAGAACATATCTAAAGAATTTTGGGCTTCTGAGACATGATTACAGATGAGAAAAAGTTATTTTGCATGGAGATCCCCCAGTGCTTCTGATACTGAAGAAGACACTGTTTTTCCTTTTAGTCAGTATATATATGTGTATATACTTCCCCCACAACTCCAAGCCATGGGATTACAGGACCACATTGCCTCCTGATAACTGTACTGTAAAAACAAGCACGTGTCTTTTTAAGTGATGGACTTCCAAGACCTAACTGAACTACCATATGCCGTCTGAGTTACATTAGTCATTTACAGTTGTCTGAATTACTGCTTCAAAAACCTAAAAAATTCACTGAAAAAAAAAATGCACTGAAGCACTGCTTATATTATTTGGGCTAGTTTCCTGAACATCAGCAGCAAACAAAGATACTGTTCCTTGTAGATTAAAAGTATTATTTGAAAAGACTTGAGTCTTTGCTGTTGTCCCTTCAGAGCCAGAACACTGCTCAGTTCTAGGGAGAACAAAGGTTATTTAAGATAATGTGGAAGAACTAAGGAGTGTGGTAACCGATTAAGTTAGTAAAGTGTTTGCTGAAGAATTTTTATAGATCCAGTCCCTGAGACTAGATTGTATAACTGTTGTTCAAAACAGGAAGAGAGATTTTATTCTAACAGGAAGAGGTAAGCCAAATTTCTAAAAGCCCTAGTCATAACACCATAATCTTCTTTTCCTGCTATTCTAAAGACTACTCTAACTCTAGATATAGTGAAGTATGAGCACTACAAAAATCAAACAGTTATCTAGTATTTGTTTATAAAACATTGTTTGTTGCATCTTGTGGAACACTAGTGCATTTAGATGAAATGCTTCTTTGCGTTGAAGAGAACTGATATGAGAAGATAGCATTGAAAAGGGAGGGAAAAAATCTCTGCTGTCACATCTGAAGTTATATCAGCAATCAAGCAAATTGTGAGCACACATACAGTAGAAAGCAAGTAATATAATCAGCAAATAATAATTTTTCTTCCTAACTTAGCGTGGATAGCAGGCTTCCCATTAAAAGAGGTACTAGTTGTCTTTCACCTGTACCATAGCAAATATTCATGCTTATCATACTTAATTTATTCTCAAAGCCTCCCATACACAGGCAAAGAAAACAAAAATTCTCACAAAAAATCAGAACAAAAGGCATCCCCCAGGAGAAGTACAGATAACAGTGCAATTCGGGCAAACCATGGCTTGGGGTTTTGACTACACAATCACTCAAAGTTTTGGGACTGCAAAGTACAGCAGAACAAAAGATCTGTGATGACACTGGAGGGACATATCTGTGTCAGAACAGACAACTGACACAAAGTCCCACAGCTTTGGCAACAGCACCATCACACCATCTCTCCCAAATTATAACAGTTATAAAAACCCAGCAAGTCTGACCTCTCCTGAAACGCCATTTTTAGGATCCATATGAACAACATTTTATAAAAAGCTATTTTATTCTCTCATTTAGCTTGACACATCTTCTCTGCTGCTCTTATTTATGAGTGACAAGATTGCTTATGAACAAACAGGTCTGCTAATTCTCACATGTACCTGTCATGAATCCCTATCCCCACAATATAAATCTTGATCCCCAAACTCTTTGTTGCTTCTTCTCTAAAACTGTTAAGTTGGCTGCTTTTCTCCATAAAATCCATTTCGGTTTTACTGGCCTAACCACTGCCTCAGTTTTATGGCCTCCACCCCATCTGCTCTTTGGACTCCTCTCTTCATTCAGATCAAAATCTAATCTTGTGTACTGTCACCATCCTCTAGAGTGATGGACAGTTCTAGAAGTTATGGTTGCTGTGATAAGGAAAGGGAGGAAAGAAGTCAAATTCGAGGAGGGGAAAAGGACAATCATGCATTTTTCTACTCTTTCCTTTATTTCTCTCATGTGTACCTCTACTGAAAGGAAGAACTAGAGCTGGCAGCTGAATCAGGAACACAGTTAAGAGGATCAAGGTCAAAAGGTCTTTCTCATGACAGAACTCATCTATCTCATTTGCAGCATCTCAACTCAAAAGTCTAATACTATAATCTCTAAAAAAACTTTGCCAGAATTAGGAGGACTACTGGCCACATCACTAACCTTTCTTTCTGCTGAAGGCAGAACAGATTGGAGAGTTACACAAGAAAAAAAAAAAGGCCTAGTAAATCTAGAACCTCTTAATGATTTGGACTTCAAAAGGGACTTTAGAGTAAAACTAAAGAAACAATTTCTACGTTATGCTGTGCTGTGACAGAAAAGCTCTAAATAAATTCAGTTTTCTAAGTAGTGATTACATAAAAGAACCTCACGTTGAGGTACACAAAATGTACTGGAAATGTAAATGGAAACAGAGCACTATTATCATACAGCTTTCACAGCAGATGAATAAGCATCTGCCCCTGCAACGAAGAAATGTTTTTTTAGTCTAAAATTATAGAGGAAGGCATTAGACAAGGCAACACAATATCTTAAGTGTTATAATATTAAATGTATAATGAGATAAGAATTGTATTAAAATGCAACTGCTCTTGAAAATTTTAAGATTATTTTATAAATCTTATATATATATATACACCTTTTTTTTGTTGATCTGAACTTGACAGGTGCAGAAGTACTTGAGATGTTATATCTATGGATCAAGATGGCAATAAATGCTGTTTCAGAGACAAAGTGCAACAGAAATGTTTGTTAAGAAGTATTCATCACCTACCTTTGGATTCATTATTCCTTCTTGTTTAAAGCAGCTATAAAAGATATCCATGGAAAACACTTCACTCCACAGGTATCCGTAGTACTGACCATCATAACCACCTGCCAGATGTCCAAAAGTAGCTGGCATGTTTGTTCCTTGAAAAGTAGATTAATATTAAGGTATTTAAATAAAATACAGGGTTTTTTTTATGTATACAACACTTCAAGAATAAATTAATAAGGAATTTATATCAACTGCTTTTAAACCTTTAACATAAAGTGTCTGAGTATGCCTGAAAGTATTGAACCTACTCTGCTGACTACAAAGGAAATTCAATTTCCCACGTTAGGCTACTTGTACCTCCAACACAGATGTGACAGATCATCTGAAGTGGAATTCATATCATGTCACTCTAAAATATATCCTGCAAAAGGTTAACTTTTATATTTGCCTTAATTTTCCTTCAGAAAAGATCATTAAGATAATCCTAAGTTTCAAAATAACTATTTGAGCTTCATAAAGTAGACTATTTCATAAACAACTCTGGGGGGTTTGTATGCCAAGCATTATTGGGAAAGAATGGCATGTTAAATCGAACCATTTGGACATGCTGTATAAAAGCTTCGTAGTGACATACCTGGAGTGGCAGGAATTCCTAGAATCTCCATACAGTATTTAGCATATTCATCTGCTGGGTCAACAGATATCTTTGTATGCAGTGCCTGGTCAACTTTGCTCAAAACAATCTGACGGAGGGTTAAAAAGCCTAAGGGGGTAAGAACATTTAATTAACCAGCATCAAAGTAGCTGGAGCTTCATTTGCATCTTTCTTTCAAAGGTCTCAACATGCACATTAAATTATTAGAATTTTAACCATGGAAAAAACTTGGGAGTTTCAGTGTTCCCATCTGAATTGCTCCAGTTACAGAGACTTGAGAAGCATAATTTTAATAAAGGAATTGTCATTATAAGCTCCATCTTTTCAAATGTTATTTTCCTCACAGATCAAAACTAAAAAAAAGCATATATTTTTAAAGCACATCTTAATATTTAAAATAATGTTTTCAGCTGCCGTCGCTTCCCATATACCATTTCACTCTGAGCTTCAACAGATGGTAGTTAGTATATCCACCCTAAGACACTTCAAAAAACACCAAGAACTGCTGCAGCAGCTGCTGTAAGCTTTTTTTAAGAAGCTACAAGATATGAACCTCTACCCAGACAAAATGCTTTGCAGCTACAGAGCCTGTACAAGCCACAGGGACAAAGACTTCTTGTTCTGGATAGGAAAGCAGTATGAAATAAACAGCAGTGTCTAATGACAAATTGTACTATAAATGAGAAGCCCTGATTAGAGGAACAAAGGGGTGGGAGTGATAGAATAACAGTGATAGGCAATGACATAAGACTACAGTCTCAGTTTGGAGATACATGTAAGGTAGTACAAGATGGGGCAGGAGAAGAAAATTAGAACCTTAGTTTGGGAAGGCAGTATATCTTCTGGGAAAATAGAGAATATGGACTTAAGGTTCTGGATTTAGAAAGTTAAGAGACTGTTTGAACAATACAGGGCTACAATACTTCTATCTGGGATACATTATCTACATTTAGTAAATTTGAAAACAATTTCCACATCTGTCAAGTGTCATGTACAAATCAAATGTAGACAATACGTACAGAAAATATGACAGTGTATTCACTTTATGCACAGTGCCTGCTCTGGATTACAAATAAAATAAAAATCAAAAAACCCCAAACAGACTCTCCCTCTTTCCCTATCACACACACCACTCCATCAACTCCTTTCCTCAATTTTAAATGAACAATGATAGTAGGTAAAGAAGTCACATGGAGAGGAAAAGTATTTTAGTACTGTGGGTGGCCTGGAAAATCAGAGCTGCTGCTGTCCAGGCAAAGAGTGGTACTGTCATCATAGCCTTTATTAATGGGGGTACCAAGGCAAATAAACCCAGAAAGACAGTGAGAAGTGTACACACAGAAGAAATTGAATGGGCTTGCTATGCTTATCAGTTTTTTTAAATTGTGTATTTTTGTATATATACTGTGGGGAGAAAGGCAGAGAGATACCTGTATTAGCCAATCTAGAGGCAGCAAGTTTCTCAAGGAGAGTGTCTCCAACATAGGTCTCATCTTTATAATGTCTTGACATTTGCTGTAGTGGCTCTTTTTCCCACACCCAGTTCTCAAACACTTGTGAAGGTACCTCTACAAAATCTGTTTCCACATTAGTTCCACTAAATCTAGCAAAATCAGTCTAAAAGAAAAAGCCATTGAATTAAATTAAAATAGGAGCCATGATTTCTAGCAGAATACAAACTTTCAGATGTCAAAATTATTGCAGAAAAAGGAATAATTTGAACAGCATAATAATAGTTTAAAAATTAAATTTAAAGAAAGGAGAACAAAAAGAAATCAGACATAAGACTATTATCAAGGAAAAAACTAGGTTTCTCATCGGTTATTTACTGCATTATCTACTGGTATGGAGCAGTATTTCCCTTTTCTTAATATTATTGATTTTTATCTTTTACGTTATGACAGCAATACAAATGTTTCCATGCTGTCTTGTCACAATGATATAATTTGTCAATTATTATAAAAGTTTGTTACATTACCCCAAAGTAAAATAATAAACTCCAACTATACACTTTAAAAGTGTTGTTAACTCTGTTACAGTTTACCACACCGATTCACAGACTTTACTGGACCAACTTATCCTATTAAGCTTTGTCCTATTTGCCTTAATTCATAAGACATGTGGCTAACATATAGCTCAATTATTTTAGTCAGTAATACTTGGACTGGAATAAATAAATCCTAGCAACCTTATCCATGAAAGGTTTCTGAATCTGACACTTTATTACTGATTAAAGAAACTTTCTTCTGAAAGCCAAGCACATTACAGCTTTTTATTTTTCACTTCAGTATTGTCAATAACTTCATATTTAAGAAGCTCCCACAATATTAATTTTGAGGAAAAGTTTGTACAGTTAAAATCTTTATAAAATATATTCCAAACCCAAAATATTCTAAGAAGTCACTTCTGAAAGACAGTTGTTCAAATGCACAGAAGTTCTTTGGTCTTATAGAATCACTGAATAATTAAGGTTGGAAAATACTTTTAAGATCATCAAGTCCAACCGCCAACCCAGCACCACTGCCATGTTCACCATTAAGCATTAATTCATGTCCTCGTGTGCCATATCCACGTTTTTTTGAACACTTCTAGGGATGGCGACTCCACCACTCCCTTGGGCAGCCTGTTTCAATGCTTTGCACTGCTTTTCTTTCAGGGAAAAAAATTTCCTTTCCAAAAATATCCAATCTAAACCTCTTCTGATGCAACTTGTAGACATGTCCTCTCATCCTGTCACTTTTTACCTGGGAGAAGATACTGATTCCCACCTGGCTACAAGATCCTTTCAGGTAGTTGCAGAAAGCTACAAGATCCCCCCAGAGCCTCTTTTTCTCCAGGCTAAACATCCCCAGATCCTCAGCCACCCCTCATAGGACTTGTATTCCATACCCTTCCCCAGCTCTGTTGCCCTTCTCTGGGCACACTCCTTGTCCTTGTCTGGACACACTTCAATGTCCTCCTTGTAGTGAGGGGCCCAAAACTGGACACAGGACTCAAGGTGCAGCTTCACCAGTGCCAAGTACAGCGGGACAATCACTGCCCTGGTCCTGCTAGTCACACTGTTTCTGATATAAGCCAGAATGCTCTTGGCCTTCCTGGCCACCTGGGCACTGCTGGCTCATGTTCAGCACTGTCAAACAGCACCCCCTGGTCCTTTTCTCCTGGGCAGCTTTCCAGTTGCTCTCACCACAGCCTGGAATGCTATCTGGGGTTGTTGTGATCCAAGGGCAGGACCCAGCATTTGGCGTTGTTGAATCTCATACCATTGCCCAGATCCCTCTGTAGAGACTTCCTTCTACCCTTGTCTTGTAATAGGTCTACCTCCTCTTGCCAGACCCATTTTATGTTTTTTTTTCCCTTCTCATCAACATACTAACAAAACAGATATCCTCATTTAACCATACACATTATCCATGCATCACACTAACAAAAACCACTAAACATTTGGGTTAAGTTACTTCAAGAGCTCTCCTTCCCTAACAGAATAAACAAATCCCCTCCCTGCCCTGATCTCACTTTCCAGCAGTCTCTCTCTCTTTTCCAGTGTATTACACAGAGCATCAGACCTTTACCAGCAGCTCACAGATCCCTTCCCATATTTAAATGTCATTTAAGTGTCAAGTCCTAACATGCTTAAACAAAAAACTATATGAAGCAAGACAGTGTTTTGTACACACTAACTCCAGAGACAGGATGTTCTTACCTGGGATTAGCAAGTCTGCACACATGCAAATAACAATTTACATACAATACAGCAGCACTAAGCATGGTAGCTATGCACACAGAGCACTGGGAGAGACAACTGGAAAGCAGGCCTGCCTGACCTGTGTGCAATTCCACCGCAACTAAAGTACATATGCCGTGGAACTGGTGGCTTGGGCTGCCCCAACTGGGCTCCGCAACAACCAGGCACATTCTCACTGGCTATGCTGCAGTCAGTTTTGTACAGTTTCTTACCAATGCTGAACGTGTTTCATTTATAATCACCTTCTATATAGTCTAGGTTTTATTTCTCAATTTGTGGTAGAGAAACACCTGTCATAGAGTGAAGATGATAAAATAATCTTTATTTTTACTTTCAACGTGATTCAAAAATATCTAAGCAAATCTAGTTTCTTATTAACTCTGGATTTAATATATGGATTTGGGTGACTTTATTTATTTATTCTGCAGTCCCAATCTCCAGGATAATGGTCAAGAATCTAATGGGGGTCATACTTCTTTAGTTTTATTATTTGTTACTTGTTTATACAGAAGATGAATTAAGTGCTACACAAAGTCTGGATATGTAGGCAATTATGTGAATTCTTTTGTGAGTGAATACTGACAACTCTCTCTGAAATACAAAATTTTCATTAGACTAATAAACTTATCATCTGGTAGAATTAATTTTAGATGTAAACCAGAAATATTACAACTTCATTTGCATCTTGATGCAAAATCTGAAACTAACTTCAGTTCTTTCTGGTCATCGTAAGAAACCTATCCTATCAGACAGGAGAGCAGAAAAATACAGTGGCTCAGGCATTTATGCTTTCGCTATCAAGAGTGACAGCACTCAACAGTACTAAATGCCAAAATGCTGGAGGTCATCTGGATTCAGAAATTATTTTCATTCCTAGGTACAGGACCCTTTTACTTCTAATATCTAGAAGTGCAACTTGATGTAATAAAAAGCCCTCTGACAGAAACCATGACGGAGCACCTTCCTCACCTTACACATCGTGAGTGATGACTGAATAGATGCCTGCACAATGCAAATGTAAAAGTATGTGTTTCTATGAAAATGTTTTTTTCATAAGGAGGTACATTTATTGCTTCAGTTTTAAATAAAAATTAAAACAAAACCCCAACCTGACACTGTAAAAAATAACCAAAACATCACTAACCTGTGCACATATCTGATGCATCACGTGACCAAATTCATGGAAGTAAGTCTTTACTTCATCGTGTCGCAGTAATGATGGACGATCCAATGACGGTTTTGTGAAGTTGGTTACCAGAGCAGCTACAGACATCAATCTGCTACCATCAGAAAGGAGACAGCCAGGCTGTAGACCAAAGCACGCTGCATGCCCATACTTTCCCTCTCTGTATAAGAAAATAAATCACATGCTATCTTCAAACCTGCTCACCAGAATGGTGAAGCCTACTCAAGAACAGGGACATTCAGTCAGTGTCTTTACTCATAGCTTTACACAGAAAAATTACATCTTTTCATGACTTCTAAAGACTCGCTAGAGTGAGTCTCTTAAGAGCACAAGGGAAAAAGTGACCTCTGTAATCTCGTACTTAGATCGCAACGACTTAAGATTCCCAGCAGCATTTACAAGGATCTGATTTTTACTATAATACTGGAAGTATACATACTTAAGATGTCCATTCTGTTTTAAACGGCTACTGTAACAGCAAGGACTAGGTTGTGTTCTCTGAAGCAGTGTTTTTTCTTTTATTACAGGAGACAAAAGAATACAGTGCATGGCATTTTTCACTGTCTTCGAAGAGTTTAGAGAAAACTTATTTTGAAAATTTTGCCCTAAACTACCCATTTAACTACCCAGGTTAAGTCAGAGGAGTCTTACTGACACAGAGCTTCAGCAATTCCCATGACACACATAGGGGTGGAAGCAGGCAAATAGGTGAAGGAGATGGGTACATTATCCTAAAAAGAACAATTTATGTACTATTGTATTGACTAACCTAATTTTCTTAGGTCAGAAAAGCCTTAAATCAATTTACATTAAAAAAATAATATCAGCCAATTTGCTGATATATACTGCTATATATAAATTGCTATTTATTAATTTAACAAAACCTATACCAAAGCAAACAAAAACCCAGTGACAGTCAAAAAGGACTAGCTCAGAATAAACTCTGTCAAATCAGTCTAGTTTCCTAATCTCTGACAAAACATAGATGATTATTTTGATAGCTACAAAGAGACTTGGACAGGTAGAGATCAACATGGAAGTAAATTTCAGCGTGTGTTCAACAGGAATCTATTCTTGCTATTGATCTATTTGATATTTTCTTTAGCAGTCTGGCTAACAGGTTAAAAATACACATATAGAACAACAGAGTACAAAATACACATATAAGGTGTAAAGAGGAACTAAAAGAAACTAGGAACACTCAACAGACAGAAATGTAATTGTTTAACAAAAATGAAAATTCAAATAGCATTAAGGTATTAAGGTAGGAAGGAGAAAAGTTCATAGATTATGGATATTATGGATAACTGACTAAATAGCAGTACTACAGAAAAAAAATGAACAAAGTAGTAATGCTTCATAAACTGAATAGAAGCGAGAAATATGGTAGGGAAAAAAAAAAGTATAAACAATCTGAATGCAATCCAAAGCACTACTTAATGAACATGAACACAGTAATAGTCTTGTCAGCAGGACAAATATTTTTACTTCTAACTGCATTTAATTCCATTCTAACTGCATTTAACTCCACCAACAGCAACTCACTAAGACAAATTCCATTTTAAACACAGAAGTAAAACACTATGTCATAATTACCTGGGGTAAAGATCCAAATAGAACTGCCCTAACATTTCTCCTGTTGATTTATCCTTTACTGCATAAAGAGTAACACTGTCATGCCAAACATGAGCACTTTCTACTTGCTCAAATACAAGTCCCAGCAGGTTCTGGTAAATATTCAGTAAGCCTTCTGTAACAGCCTCAATTGGGAAGTATTCCTTCAGTTTTTCTTGATCTATAGAGTACTTGAGTTCTTCAGTTTTGTTCATATAATAATGAAGATCCCATGCATTGATTCTTCCATCATAATCAAAGTTTCTTTCTTTACACTCCTCTTTCTTCAAACCTAGAATGAATTCTCTTTCTTCTTCAACCAGTGGCTTTAGCTTCTTACTCAAATCATCTGAAAAAAAGATTGCCTTGGAGTCAACTTCCATGTTACTATAATGTGTTTACCTATAAAATACACTCAAAACTTTAAGCATATGCTCCAGAAGTGGAAGCTAGAGTTTTCCATGCATTGACCAACTGTCTGTTTTCTTGTCCTAGTGAGCCTTAACTGCAGGCACGCTGTAAGTGATACAGTACTCCAGGTAGACCTAGGAGAGCTGTGAAGGGTTTTGGTAAATTTAGATTTTTTCAAAGATATCAGGAATGGAAAGTAACACTAGACCCTTTTGCTTGAATCCTTTGATTTTTATCTCATGTAATTTCAGTTTTCTTAATATATTTCTGCAGCAGCAGCAAAAGACTATAACTAGTATTAGTTCCTGCAAGGGCATCACAAAATTCAATACTTCTACCTAAAGTCTGATAAAAGAAAAAGAGACTCAAGAGTTCTTGCTTCTAGACTAGCAAAGTCACTGGGTATGAATCTCTATGGTCCAAATTTTTTCCAACATACTTTTCTTAGACAAGAAAGCATCACTGCACTATGAAGCACACACATAGAATATAAAATATTTAACCTTAGTGAAACTTCCATAAAGGACATACTGTACTTATTCTCTTGTAAGTATTTCTGGACTATCAGACACTTTTTTTCTTTCTTAAGAATTCAGATTAATGTTCATTGTTGATACCTAGAGTGTAAAACCTTGGAACTGCCACTCCTCTTTCTATGTAGTCTGTAAGGCACTATATACATTTACATGACTGAAATACTGTTTGAAGCTTGTATTGTGCTAAATTCAGAATGAGTCATAGGAAAGAATGCTCTTTGTCTTAGCTGTAAGATCAGCTTATGAACATTGATTTAAAACATGAATAGATAGGAACAAAGTAGAGCAAAATATACTGTCATGTTTGTAGCTCAGGATATATCAAAAGAACTAAATTAAAGGTGACAATTAATTCAATTAACATTTTCCCTCTGTGAGAATTACCACAAGGTATGATATTTATGAACAAAAAAGTATATGATCTCATGTGCTTCTACTCTGTAAAAGCAACTGCTAGATTTTGAGTGCAGCTTCAAAACAAATGAAAAAACACAGTATTACAATAATATAATGGATATAAAAAGAGTCCAAAATACTTTAGATACACTTAAAAAACACCAGGTAACTCAAACATTTAACTCAAAATTACTTATGAGTTCATTGTCAAATAAATGGATAATTGGTATTACCAAATATGGATCTGATCTCCTAAAGGGCATTTCAGAAGAAATGAAACAGAATTACAGGTGAAGGAAGAGGAGCATTTGAACCTCTTTATTGACACATAAACACAAAAACCCCACTAACAACAAACATACCTTATTTTTGTACTGAATTATTTGGGGGGGCTATTTGTATGATACATCAATATACACTCCTAAGTGGTGTTAGGACACATTAATAAAGGAACACATGCTACTCTGTGGAACTACGTAATTCCAGAAAGCAGAGGTTAATTCCATGCTCAAAAGCAGCCCCACTAATGTCAACAGGATGACTATAAATTCATAAAATGCTCAATTTGAAATTTCCAAGATACCTCTGTTTTCAGATCAAATTCCACTGCAAGGCTTTTGAATTCCAGATTTAATCCATCATTCCAGATTTAAATTTTTAATTCAGATCATGGAAGTTGCATCATCCCATACTGTAATCTTCCACTATACTTAATGCAGTTGAATCAGAAAAAGACATTAAGGCTATGAACGCACAAAAAATTGTGCCAAAATGGTAACAAAAAGCTGCAACTCTGATGCAGCCTCTTGAGTTGATAAAACTGGCTAGACTGCACATATTACTTTGGTTCTAAATTAGGATAAAGGCATTTTGGGGCAGAGAAAGACACAACCACTTGCTCACACTGGCTGTCACAAAGCAGCTGTTTTCAGATTTTTGCCTTGTGGTTCCCTGATTTCAGCAACTGCATTTGTACAGCTACAGTATAAAAAACATACGTGCCAGAATGGAGGCAGCAGAGAGTTCCCTTTCTAGCTAAACATGATGGGTACTGTGACCCAGTTATGTATTTAAAGTCATCTTGGCTGAGGAGTCATGTTGCCACATCAAATATAAAAGTATTGCTTATAAATGAGAACAAACCTAAGAAGGTTGTTACATTATCTGTGCTCTTTGCAGTGTTTACCTCCAGGACAAAGTTGGCATGTGTATTATAACCAAGAAGCTCTGCTACTTTTGCCCTTAGTGGAAGCAATTGCTGAAGAATTTTTGTGTTCTCCTAAAAAAGAAAGTAGGGAAATTTGTAAAGTGAAAACAGAAAACACATGTTATTAAAACATCTGAATAATATCTGAAATCCTATGAAGCAGTAAACATTTTAAATGAAACATTTTAAGATATAAATATAAAATAACCTATGTTTAGCTAGATTCTTGGAATTCTTTTTTCACTGCATTTGATTGCAAGGAGCTAGTATTCTAGTTGATCACAATCATTATGCTCTCTATTACAATTTATCTGTTTTAATTAATCAAAATGGATACCATTTCCTTTTAGGATACTAACAAATCTTTGACAGTTGTGAAAAGTTTATTTTCTTTATCAATTACTTAACTGTGAAAGGTAATAGTTAAACTACTGACAGAAGGCTTAATTGCTTATTAGTGATGAAGACAGATTGTAAATCTATTGTGCGAACATTCAAAGCTTGTTTGCAAATTTCCCTCTTTTGCCCCTTTGGCAATAGCAGTCAGAGAAAGATCTGAAACACAAAACCCTAGGTCCTGATCTAAATGTGCTGAAGGATCCTTGAGAAGCTGAACATATAACTGTGTAAACCTCTAGTTCTGGAAAAGTGAGATTCCTCAGGGGAAAAAAAAAAATCAAACACTACATTCAAAGATTGTTCCACAGTTTTAACATCAAGTTAAACATGTGTGTTGACTTGCAAAGTGTTCAGTTGCAATGCCATTTTATCTTCTCTTGTACTCATCACATTTCCCAGCACTTCAAGCACAGAAGTTCAACTCTGCCATTTTTCTCTAATAAATAGTTGGTACAACTGTCTGAGTGACATATTCTCTATTTTCTATTTTTGTAGCTATCTAGTTGTGTGGTCTCACCAGTATAAAATTAAATTAACTGCGAAATTACTTCTTCATCTTATAAGGCATGTTTCCAAATATTTTTCAGATCATTAAGTACATCTTTTATAAAAACCAGGAGGGCTTTTTTACATCTAATTAAAAATCTCATCAATATGAAATGTGTTAATTTCACATTTAATCACCTGTATTTTGTAAGTAAAACCTGCGCTTAAATAACCCCTCTCATTCTGAAGAATCCCAAAATACTATAGAAGCCACAATCAGACATCCCTTTCTGTGAGCAAAGTGTCAGTAAACATCTGCAGAACACTGTAGGGGAATGTGATAAAAGATCAAAGCCCTACTTCTATTAACAGCACTACTTGAACATTAAGATATGTACACACACATACAGAGAAGCAGATCATCGACTTCTAAGGTCTCTGGACATCAGAATAAATTGCAGTAAGGAACTGTTAGAGACCACACTGATACGTTTTGATTTAATAATACTATGCAATATGGAGAACTCAAATATAACATTTGAATGTCTTGCTCCATTTATCAATTCTGTCATTGCACTGCAGAACAATCAATACACAACACACCTCTTTGCATCTCGAGTTAAAGGCAGATTCCATTTTTCTCCTTGTTTCTGAAATGCAACACTTCTTCATAACAGGAAAATAGTGGGGATACTTCAAGGTTACTTTATATTTGTCTTCCTCAGTCTTCTCTAAGCCATTAATAAAGTCATCAGGAAGGCCATCTACGGAATACAATTTAATGAACAATAATTACCTGAACTACCTACTCCCCCGTTTTTCTGAGACTGTTGCATTTGTTTCGCTGTAATCTATTTTGACATTAGAAATCTCCACAGAAATAACATCTCTCTTTTTGCAATTTGTTACAGTTTTACACTTTTTTTTTTTTCCTAGTGAATTTTCCCATAGCAACAGTCTCTTGCTTTTTTTTTTCCCTCTGGGGATGGCACTTTATTCTTCCCTGACTCAGGGAGCGGTGTGGAAGGGCGGTTCATTTTTCGGCCGGGTCCCTGGCTTCTTCTGGCCCCAAGAGGTGTCCCGGTTCGCCTCTGATTCCTCACGTCCTGCTCTGCCTACTGCCTGGATTTGCCTCGGATTCATCGGAAAGCGGGAGCCACCTGCGGAAGAACCTTTGAGGGGAAAGGCTGCCTTCCTCCTCCACCTTTCCCGTGTCGGCGGCAGTCTGCACCCATTCACGAGGAAGGGGATCGCAGCCAGAGCCGCCTTTGACAGCACGAGTTTACAGGAGGAAGCGCCCTTTCCCCTTCCCGCTTCCTTTCCCCTTGGCTGGTGCCCCTCCCGGCCGGGTGTGCCCTCGATGGCCCCGCTGCCTCCCAAGCGCCGGGCCCTGCCGAGGTGGCGGCATCGGGGCCCGACCGCGCCCCCCGCGGCCATCGAGCGCAACTGCAGCCCCCGCTGCTCCGCACCCAACAGCGCCCCCTGCTGGCCCCGAGTGCGGCACTGCAGCCCTGCCTCCCGAAGCGCCAGCGCCCCCTGCTGGCCGTGGCTATAACCATGACGAAAGGAGAAAAGGACAATTTTTTCGGTGGAAGTTGCCTTACGGAACTGTCGCTTGTTCTTTTGTGTTATATATATTTATATATTTAGTAAAGAGCTGCTGATTTCTTTTCCACACCTTTACGACGCAAGCCTCTTAATTTTGAAGTTATAATTACTCACAGGGAGGGGTTTGGTTTTTCTCCTGTCTCACCCTCCTTAGCAAACATTTCTGTCTCATTAAATTATTTGCTAAAACTTTTTCAAATTCCACTAAGCAAAATAAAATTTGGAAATGCTTGCAAGCAAAAGAGAAATACATGTAAGGTTACCAGAATGGCATTAAAGAATCTCTAATGTTATTAGAGCATATTTTATGCCATGGCCTTCAAATAATGAATCACCAAATTCTCTATCACATGCAATTTTCAGCTTAGTTTTTAAATTACTGAATTAGTTAAAATATATTGCAGGGTAAAAAAGCTTTTCCAATAGTTACCATACATGTAATACACAGGGAATTCCCTGGTGGTGGAGAACTGAGAAAAGGAGCAGAGTAAAGTTATGCTAAAAAAGGAAGACAAGGAAAAGACCTCAGGAAGCAAAAATCTATGCAGACATTATGAAAACCTGCAAAGGATAATATCAAACCGACTCTGGGGAAGGATTAAAAAGGAAACAGAGAAGATTGGAAAACAGGCAGATTTTCCCTTGATCTTACCCTCACTCATGGGGCCAAAACCAGCTATTCAAGTAAAACTGGAAGGTTGAAGACATGGAAACAGCAAGCATACCACTTACCAAGTTCTTCCTTAGAAAATACAAGAAATGTGTTCTCCTCATTCAGGTTTTTGTTAAAGTCTATACACAGCTCATTCAATTTTTTCTTCATTGCCTTTATTTCCTGTATTGGATATAAACTGAACTTAGTGGAAAAGCAAAAATCAAAGTTGGTAATTTCTGTCCTCTACATGAATAGTATTTCACTTTTTCCAACTCTCTATTAGTTGACAGTAAATCAACACTGCAGGTAGCTTCATATTTCACTCTCCCTCAGTCTCCCTTTTATGTTTCTTTTGGCTCTTAGCAATATTGTTGCCAAGGAACTCTGGGTCAGGGCTATCACTCCAACATTCCAAACTCAGTACAGCGGGGACTGGACAGATTAAACACATTCACTGAATAGTTTTATGTTCTAGCATTCTTTTTTTTTTTTTAAATTTGAAAAGCTAAATTACAATTTTAAGTGTAAAAATATCGACTAAAATCATTGAGAATGAAGGGAGTAAAAATGCATTCAACCTACTGAAAAACACTGCTTTGGAATTGTACAAGTATGGTACGACAAGAACAGAATACTCCCAACAGCACAAGACCACTCCAAACCCATTTTTAAAATCTGGATATTCACCCATCTGAAACATTTTCTAATATATCTTATATCAAGTTTCTATACCTTACAATCAAGTTCAAATAAACACAGTAGTTACCAGTAGAAGAATGCACACACAGAAAGAAAAAAACCTTGGCAAAGACTACCATCAGACAAATTTTTCACCTAAATATTAACACCATTATTATCTCTGAAAGAATTTCAAAATATCTTCAGGCATCACTTACCCTTAAACTATGAAAATATACACAGAACTGTTCTCACTAACTGAAAGATGTGGGAAGAATGACTATTTTCTACAAAGGGTTAAGTCTACTCAAGACTCAAAAATAAAGGTTGCTGCATATACATGACTCAGAATTTAAAGAGAATTATGCTGACATCTGTAGAAGGCTAGAAGATAAGGGGCCTATGCGTATGCCTGAAATACTGATACTGAGATAGCCGTGGAGCCAACCAAGGACTGCTGGTAAGAACAGCCAAGGACTTTTGTTAATAACATGCTGTGAAAAAGAACAAGATGTGGCTGGAGAAGAGGCCATATAGAATAAGAGTAGTCCTTTTCTGGGACAAACATCCCTGTTCTGTCTCCTTGAGATAAGCACAACACAGTACAGGAGAGGCATAGAAACGAGGTGGAGAAGTGGGCATAGACTGTAGCGGGCGGGGGGGGTGTATCGAGACTTCCACAGACCTCCAATGCCTTACCCATTTCCAGAAAGGTCTAGAAGAATGGACTATGCATGAGTCACACAAATTCATTCACACTAATTCATAGAGAAAGTTAAGATCAGAGCAGTAATTCAACAGGTTCAAAAGCATGAAGTTCAAATACATGCTTAGTACAGCTAACCAATCATAATTTTATCCCTTCAACAGTTTGTAACCTTTGCTTTATAAACAAATAGTCCATATTTACATTCTGCACTTCTTTAGGAAGATGGAGTCCATTTCTTTTTCCCACTTGGACCGATTTCTCTAGATATCGCTTTGTTTCAGGCTTTGCATTTTCAAGATTGCAGTTTTGCTGAAATGACAGAACAGAATACTTGAATTAACTCAGTGTTACACTGTTACCCACATAACAAACATTAGACAGGTCTGAACAGTGTTGTTCTTTAGAACAGTCATAGTAAAAAAGGAACATCCCTGATTTTAGTGTGAACGACTTCCCAAAAACACTTACCTTACTTAAGCTTTCTTATACACACTTCAAGAAAATCAGTGGTATAAGGTAATACTGTACCTTATAAGTCAGAGGGATTGAAAAAACTCCCAAACGATTAGATGTGTCACTGAAGGTTATCAGATGGCATAATATTTGAGTATATACATTCTTTTCTCTCAGAAACAATCAAGCTGTGACAACAAATAAACAGAATCACAGCATATTCTAAGCTGGATGGGACCCACAAGAATCATCAAGTCCAAATCTTAAGTGAATGGCTCGTATAGAAATCAAATCTGCAACTTGGTGTTGTTAGCACCATGTTTTAACCGACTGAGCTAAAAACCATATTTCTATGTTATGCCATTACAAAGACTCTTGAATCACCATTTCCTAAAGCATCATCAATAAGAGACAGGACAGTGTTTGCAACAGAACATGGATTGGTCCTGTGCAAGTCTTCCTTCAAATTGACTATAGCATAACTGTTTAACTCAGAAACTTGCTATTTTGTCCTAAATTGAAAATAATGCTGTACACCTTTTATCTTCCCTCATCTAAAAGGAATATTAAAAAAGTTATTAACTTGGTAGAAAGGACATATTGTATTTAAGCTCACGTTCAAATATGAAGCTGTTGGAATTAGCTGTGACTTGTCTTAACAACCTCTCATCTGTTTACCTACATACAAATTAATGCTTGACTAGCACCTCTGAAAAGTAAGGATGTTGAAACATGCAAATTTTATGAAGGAGTCACACAATTGTGGACAGCTGTCAACTAATGACTTGTCAGTACAGAACACCTCACCTCCTTAAACAGAAAAATCAAAAGACAGGAACCTAGTTGTATTCCAAGAAAAAAAAAGTACAAATAAGAACTCTGAAACAAACTTTTTCATAATTTAAAAATAATCCACACAATAACACAAACAGTATCTACTCCCACCAATGCCTGCACAGAAGATCATAAAATTTGTGGAAACTTGTTTCTAGAACCATGAAAGAGTTTAGAATGGTTTTGTTTTTACTCTGCGCCTAGAACTCTTATGCGTACACCAGTAGCCTACATGCAAGAATTTATAAATCTGATGAAACAAAATCACAGTTACTTCACTTTGTGATAAACTAACTTGTCTAAAGCAATAGGCAGACTTAACGTAGTTTACTGATACTGTCACAGGAATTAAGAATATTTTTTCCTTTTTATATTATGCGTTCACAGGGAATTTTTATAAGAATCCATATTCTCATGGAAGGATGATCCTACTACTATAGGTCACCACACAGCTAAAGTCAACGACAATTCAACCAGTGAGGGGAGTACCCCTCACTAGACCTACGTTTTTTTGCACCTAGCACCTAGATGTCATTTTGGTTGGTTTGTTTTTAAATAAATGGATGTAAATGGTAGAAATCTCTTTCTGGGAGGAAAGTAACTGGAGAAAATCATGACCTCTGTCCTATCCAACTCAAACCTCCATCCTCATTCCCAGTAAATGTGTAAGGCCAGTCACACAGCACATTTCATAACACAAAGATTAAAAAAATGCTATTGCCCTACTCTCTGCAACACTAGGGTCTCCTGTTGTATTTCTGGCAAATAACACTCCATGAAATTCTGCTGCTTCACAAAGATCTTCATATTACCAAAAGCACTACATCTAGGAGTGTCAATGCTGTAATATTGAGTTCAAAAATAATTGTAACAATCAGAATTTTCACTGTTTTTCCACTGGACAACCCACAATTCCAGGGTTCCTTTTTTTGACCTAAGGGTAAGTATGACAGAAGTAGCACAACTTCAAAATGACAGAGGTGAAAAATGCAGACACTGCCACTATATTAACATTTATATTGGGTTAACTGTGCTGCAATACTCAAAAATTGAAAGGCTGAGGAAAAAAAATTAAGTACACTAAACTCTACAAAACGCCACTGCTTTTTTAACAGTAACAGTTCAGGACAGAGGATTGTGAAAAGTCTCACTGAGCTAAATTATTTAGGCACTGTGCTGGATCTCCCAGTCTTTCCACTGGGCCTATGGAACTGTCATGCTCCTGAAAATTTCCTGCAAAGATTTTAGGTGGAAGAACGGAATTCACAAACACTAATTTTAAGCCCTTAAAGCCAGTGAATATTGTCTCTTTCTAAAGCTAAGACAGATGAAGATTCTTTTGGGCAAAAAGAGAAGAAAACTAAGTGTTCTTCATCTTTCTCTTGATGATTACACATTTCTCCATACACTTCAATGCTAATTAGCCTTTCTGAAGTTTTTCTGCATCACAGATATGCTTAAGGTAAGAATGATACACATTTAAAAAGACATCTCAGGTCTTTATGGATAAGCAAGCCTACAAACCTTCACAAGCACAGGAACCAAGGGTGCTCTGTGGCCATCTCTGAACTTTGGTCTGATCAAGATGGTCTTCATCACCTGAATTTTCTTTGATGGACAATTTCCACAATGAAATACTAATTTTGAGTATACTCCAGAAGTTTTAGAATTGTCGTGTTTGATGATTTTATATACCATTTCATACTTCTTTTGGACAATCATGCTACCCTACTCGAGGAAGAAATCCTCAGGCAGAGTAAGAAACAAAACCTGTCTGGAATTCCATGAACAAAACCTGCAGCAGCTGTTTACAATAGGCTGTTTCCTGCGGGCATGTGGGTGGAGAAGACTGGTAACATTCTTAAGCATGCCTCTGCTAGTGAGCATGTGTACATATTAGGAGTAATAAAATTTAAAATTATGCTTTCACTGCCAAATTCACTTTTACTCCAAGTTTCAAACCTCAAAGTGAAAGTCTTCCAACAAATAAGATCTGAAGCATATTCAACAACATAATGTTATGCAGGAATTTTCCCCCCTAATGTGTCAGGAAAAGAAAGACACTGCATTATTTTAATATTTTCTTAAATTAAATACAAAACTCTCAATAATTTTTCCTCCATCAACAGTTCTTAAATAAAGCATAATCTAGAAAGAATACTAAACAGTTGTTAGCTTGTAAAACTTTAGTCCTCATTAACAAAAGCAAAAACATTCAGGATATCACTGCATTCAAGCAGATTTACAAATCTCCTAGTGGACTGTGTTATAAAGAACAGGGAAGTGTGAGGGCCCTCATTCTCCCCATCTTATTTTAATCTGACCATGGTGCAGGACTGAATTCATCTACTGAACTATTAAATCCCCAGTGGAGCAATGAAAAACCTGATTTCATGACAATGTTCTACTGCCTTATTTGAACTGATAAAATAATTTCAGCAGAAGTCTGAAGTCTGTTTGTGCAAGTTCTTTTTTTATGTGTTCCTGGAGCCTGACTTTCTAACTAAGAGATTCCAACAGGAGAAGGCATTAGGAATTCAGAAAAAATTAACAAAAAATGTATGATTTGGAAATAGCAAGATTTCACCAGTCTAGCATTTTTGGCAATTTCACAGTTGTGCTAGGGCAAAACTGCTACTACTTTAAAAGTTATTATGGAGCTAATATATGCTCAGAGGTTGCATCTCTGGAAAACTAAAACATGCTTGCATGATGCAGTTAAGCCAAGAAAAATCTCTAAAAATACTGAATGGAGATTTTAGCAAAAATTCTAACTGTTACAAAGGCCAAATACTGATGCAAAGGTAAATGACAGGAAAACACTGAATGAACAAGTTAAAAAGAATTCAAGAAAGTAGTAGTAGCAAGTAACAGTAATCAGTTTTCACTAGCTACTGTCAGATATCCTTGTAAATTAAAAATAGATAGATTCACAGATATCGCAGATCTGCCCTACATGTATCTGCGTATATTATACTGGATGTTGGAGAAAACCACTGCAAATAGTAAATACCTATAAGACCATTTAATTTCTAGCCACAGAGCAGGGGACGAAATAAAAAATCAACATAAAGCACTATCTGCCAACACACGTCCAAACATTCTCAAAATGGGGCTATTATATACAAACACATAAACAATACCCAGCAAGAGGAGAACATCTGAAAGCTTCCATGGAAAACACAGCAGAAGAAGACAATGGTATTGGAAGGCACTTTAATAAGGTGCTGCAAGCATTATTCTGGTTCTCAGTCAACAGTGCAAAAAGCACAAACAACTCAAAGAAGTAGGGCTCCAATATCCTATCAGCATTACAAGAAGGTTAAAAATTAGAGGGCTTTGAAAGGAAAGATTCACATGTAAAGCATAGGAAAAAAATATATTTTAATATTTATATTTGATAGCTTCCTTGTATTATCCTTAAGTTAGACTTTCGGAAAATTATTACTAAATGTCACCAGACATATTTGAACAAAACCAAATATTCTTCCCATTTAAGCTACAAAATAATTGGTACAAATGAAGAATACAAGATGCCTAAGGTGCTCAATTAGAGGGGAAGCTAAACAGAAAAACAAAAGGGATAGGAACCAGTTCAGCAGGGAAAGCATCTTCTGACATAGTTTTATTTTATGGTTGAAGTAAGAGATGAACAAAAGTATACAGTGTAGCTGTCTATAATTAGCAGGCCAAAAGAGGTAATTTCAGAGGTCACTTGAAGTTATATGTTCTCATTAATCTTCATAACTTAAAACAATTCTTAACTATTTCAATAGAGCAATATTTTGGACACAAATTGAAAAATAGTATAAGCCAATTTAAATACACTGCCGTATTGCCTCTTCTTTCCCTCTTGGCATGAGTTCAGGGAGCTCAGCCAACTGAAAACAAAAAATTCTTCTCCTGATATATTTCCTTCTGTTAGTCTAGTTTCCAGCTTTACCAGCTCATTGGAAGACTAAAGTCAAAACTATTGGAGAAAACGATACACAGACCTAGATATGGCCTGCAAAGAGTGGAAGCACTAGCACATTGTTTTCTATTGTATAGCTGTGTCCCACCAGAAAGATTCAATTGGCATAGACAGAGAGGAAACGGAGTGATTTTGAAAAGCACTGTGTATAAGACCAAATTTTAGATACATTTAGATAGATATAACAAGTTATGCAGACATCACCATGATTTACCTGTAAATAAACAATCTTCTGAAACACATCTTCTCTCATGCTCATCTCCACATCGAAATTAGAAAGCTTTTTGTCAGCTTCTGTACTTGCTAAGCGTACCTCTTTGTCAGGTGAAACGTGCTGGGGAAAATCCAACATGCTTCTTTCCACTGTTTAAATAAGAAGCAATGAACACAGAAGGCTAGACATGCTTTAAGGATAAGGAGCTTTCCCCCTTCTGACATTTACAGAAGACATAAGAAACAAATATCCAAAGCAACCTGACACTTCAGATCAGGCTTGAAGCAAGTAGTTTATATTACATATAATATATATATATATATATAATTTATATTACATAAAAAATGAATAGGCAAAAGGACAAAACCACACACCACAGTAACAAATAAACACGTTAGAGAAGCTATCTATTACCAAAGCTTAATTATCTCATCGTCTTCTACAAAATCAACTGAAAGGTGTATAAATATGATACAAACAATAATTCATCTTCCAGAAGTCATGTAAGTGAAGACTGATGTTTCATAGCTAGCACAGATGCTTCCATGTTAGCACTTAAAGTGAAAAGCTCTGAATCTTTCAAACATGCCCATCTGTCCTGAAGTTATTTTTACATTGTTATGAGCTAAGTGTCAAATCACCATGTACTGCACTCTTCCGTGTATAAGGCAAATACAGAAGATACTGTCTTTCTGTTCTAAACTTCTAGAAATTAGAACTGAATAATATTACTTTTTTAGAATATACTTTTGAGATTAGGTAAATCCTTGCTTATTAAAGGAATATTACATTTTAGAATGAGATTGAAGTAGAAATCCAAAAACATACTTTAGAACAACAATATTTTAGCCTGATTTAAAGCTTTGTAATTTTATGTAATGCTGCAGTTGTTTTAACAAGTCCTGAGATACTGTCAGCCCTTCAGAAACCTTTGGAATGCCAACATGGGCATTTGGTTCTTCTTGAAGTCCATAGGAAACTTTCCCCTCCACATCCTGCCCTCATGTCAAGCAGTTTAAAAATTATAAAGTGAGTTTTGGCAATTTCCAATGGACTTGTAAGGCCTGTTGTCATCTCTAGCTTTGGGGATAATAATTTCCAGTTGCTAGGGTAGGCCTTTAATGTGGAAGGAACACATTGGACTTAAATTCTAAGGTTCTAATTGAAGTCTTGCTGTGGTAATACTTATTATATGCCATGGGCTGTTTCACAGTAAGTCATGATAATGTCACATACAGCATTGAAGATTAGCATTAAAAGCTTAAATGTGACTCATTACTGCAACAGTATAGTGCAAAAAGTATGGCATAGTGAAAAAAGTATATCTTGGATCAACTCTTAGTGGCTACGCTGAGAAGCTGATAGCCACTATTTTCCAAGTCAAACAAGTTTCTCCTTCTAATTTAATTTAAAGAAGAGAATTTTACACCTTGGTGGAAAGGCTTACAAAAATTATACCCAATACAGTATATTTAAAACTGAATCTGGCAGGAAGCTGTTTGAAGCAGTCCTTCTGCCAGCGTAAATTCCAGCCAATTCACTGTATGTGCCTAAACTGCAGTTTTAAGCACTGTGAAAGCCAGGCTAATCTTACAGTACAATAATTTGAGCTGCAGGTTGATCTTGTTTGCTAGTCAAAGCTTTTCCTCCAAGCCAAGATTGCTGTTTCCAGCACTTCTATGGTTACTGTAGATTTTTTAGAGTATTTAAAAGAACTTGACATTTATTACACTTATAGTTATGTAAGAACTTACACTTATTACACCACATACACTGCACACTGTCCCCTGCACAGAACTGGAAAAGGAAATGTAACTATTTGGAGCTTCACATGCAAAAAGAAACCAGGGGACCAATGCAATTCTCTAGATGTGTCAAAGATACCAACAGCAGTTTTGTCAATCCTGATTTTTGTCTCGAGAATAAAGGAGCAGAACTTTGTAGCTGATCATGTTACATATTGCTGAGAGGTCCTGAAAGATCATTATGACCAGAGGACTCTTGAGAGGCCTCTACACACTCTACACAATAACAGTAGGGATCAAAACTGTAAGCAATTACATTTTTTCTCAATGTTTCTTTACATGCAGATGGAATGTCCCGCAGAAAGAATCACAGAAAATATACACTAACCTGCATATTCCACTTCTATATCTGCCAAAGTCCGTACAGTATTTTCATGCGTTACTTCTTCAGTATCAAGCATCCCGACTCTGTCGTAGACGTGCTTTGTCTTCCTGATCAGTTCTTCTGTTCTTATTCTAATTTCCTCTGGTGACAGGTCCCATCTCCAAAGGTTTCGGCCTGATGCTATGTATGAAGAAGCCTTAAGCTGGCTAGTAATTTCTGTTCCTAATGTCATCCTCAACACAAGCAGTGGCCTAATGGACCTGGAAGTATAAAATTGATCTCTGCATAGCAAGGTTCCAGTTCAAGAAATAGTTTATAGTAAACATTAAAAAATCCAGCATCAGCATATTTTTAGAAGCAAGAACAAGGTCCTTTTTGAAGCCATAGCTTGTCCAGCAAGTTGTTACTTTTATGAATTAAGTGTAATTTTAAATATATCTGCCTTCTATCTTTTCCATTTAGGGTATGACTAAGTGCAAATAAGGACAAAAACTTTGCTAATGACAAAACCATACAGATTAAGTTAATACTCGCCCTTCCAAGAAAAACAGAATTGCAGTTGCTGAAACTCCACAGAAATAGACTTTTTGAAGTAAGGAATAAAACCTACATATTGATTTGTAGATGATGAAGAACAAGACTGCAAAGATGCATGACATAAGACATATCATTTGATCATGTTCATTATGGCAAATAATTTTATATTTATACAGGATGTCTGCGACATAACCAACACATGAGGAAAACTTCCAGTTTCTACTCACTCACAAATGTGTTTCTTTAATTATTGTGGATTTTAAATAGATGGTTTCACTCTTTTGCCAGAAGAGGCATATATGTTTACTGGAATTTATGTACTATTAAACCTGATTATATGAATCAACTGTATTTCAGCTTTAGCTAGGAGAAAGGTTTACATATGCAACCAATCTTAGTGTGCTGGGCTATCAACGGCTGCCTTTTCACTAATCTTTTTGGCAGTATTAAAAAAGTGACTTGCAGCAATGAATACAAACATGTTAAGAAGAAACTGGTTTCAGAAGTACAGGCTTCTACCTTTCCACTGCAACAAACCAACACTCAACTTGGTTGTACAAAGGAGAAGGACATAGAATGGAAGCTGAAGGGGAACCTCCTCAAAAATAGGTTCAAGGCTCTGAACTCTACCCCACACCACCCACATCAGAGAATATCAGAAAGAATACACAGTGTTCTGAATTAAGGTCAACATAAAAGAGTCAAAGGAAAACAACAGCGTGAACAACACAAAAGTATGCTAAAGTGCAGGATATTAAACAGATGCTCTTTTTTAAAGGGAACCTACTGCTTTCTGTCATTCAGTATCTTCACCTAGATGTGTAGAAAACAGAGCCCTGTTAATGGCTACTTACATATTATCAAAACCAAACACTATAACAGGCACAGCACCAACAGATTACATTCCTTTCAGCCTGTCCAACAAAATTCATTAATAATTAAAGTTGGACCGAGTTAAAAAACTTGAATGCAGAGTCCCTGATTACTGTACAGCACTATTTTTAAATTTTACTTAAAATTGACTTTTTTAGTACATTATCTAGTTGCATTGAGACATACACATATCAATTTGACAGCTGTATAAATTATTGCCATAAATCTCAACAAGTTGTTTTCTGCCTGCTGGAAACAGGAAAACACAGACCTGCCCAGTTTTGAAACGCTGATACCTTGTCTCCTCCTGCTGATAGGAAGAAACAGTAATTTATTACTATTATTTTTAATAGCAATTGGCAGTACAAACTCAGAAAGACCTCCAAGTTTTTCTAGCTGACCAAATGACAGCGGGCCTTCAAAAACTGTAACTTAACATCTCATATAACACCAGTCACTACATGTGATTCTTCAAATAAATATTCACACACATGTTGATACCTTGCTACCAGTCAATCAGATGTCTTTGTACTAAAGACCAAACTAAATTACATTAGATTAATGGAAAGAGTATGCAAGTAAATATACATGCACAGGTGAAATCTTGGCCATTTCTTTCATGGCTTAGTATTTTGAATTGTTTATCCACATAAAACTATAAAGAAATAAATTCCCAAAACTCCATGTACTATACTGCAATTAAAAGTGATAATTTACTAACTTTACCTTATTTGTTCAAGAAAGAAACAAAGAAACAATGCCAAGATTAAATACTATAAATAGACTACAAAGAAGCAAGAAAGAAGAGTATAACTATAGTAGTAGGATGCTCTGCAGTTACATTTGTCATATTATTAGAGAGAAAATACTAAATTGTATCACTGAGGGAATCTTTAACTTCCCAGATATAAACTGGAAAATAAATTCTATTGATAATGGTAGGAACCAGATGCAACAACAAACGGTTTTCTTCAAATACTGAACCAAGCAGATAGAATTATTATTTTAGGCTTGCTTCTGGTAAACAGCAGCAACACTAGGGAAGAGTTAACTACTGCTTGGACTGAGTAATCAGAAGTTGATTCAATTTAAATGAGGTGGAAGGATGTGTGCCTTGCAAAGACTGCTGCTAATGCCTGAACTGTTAAGTTCAAACTGTTTCAGCTATCATGCTCCATTTTCTGCAATGCAGTGTAGAACACAAGATAGATCTAAATAAGCCTGGTTTAAGGACAAGGTTCATGTCCAGCAACACTACGGCCTTAAGACATTCTTCTATCAGTGTTCCATCCTCTGTTGCTGATTTGTATCCCTGTACATCACTCCATCAATGGCAGCAGCATAACTGCCATTAGGGTCATACTTGGAAAAGATTCAGGACAGCATACAGGTGAAAATACAGCAGACCAACAAAATTCATGGGCGAGAGATTTTTTTCAGCTCATCAGTCCCATCATCTATTTGATGTATGACCTCAAAACAGATAAATGAAAGCTAAAAAGTGTCAGTAGCCACTTAAGCCTGCACTACTGCTAGAAGCATATATGAAATGCAAGAACTTAGTCTAGCAAAAAGAGCCACAAGATGATTGCTCTCATTAAGTATATACGATATAAATGTCCAGAAGTTGAAAGAGCTATTGATGCTAAAAGGCAATACTGACATAAGAACAAATTAGAATAAATTGGTCAGGAATACATGCAAGCTGAAATTGAAGACATTTGTAAGCAGTGAGATTCTGAAACAGATGCCCAATAAGCACTAGCAAGTGAAAACATCTCTATTTACAACATGGCACTTGACCAGTTAATAAAATGCATAATGTTACTTGGTTACCTAAGGTAGCAAGGGACTAGATGATCCCAAATGCTCTTTCAGTTCCTATGTTCCTGTCAGGTCCTTCAAAATTAATGCACCTTTATTTATATTGCATTTTTACAGTAAATATCTAACTGGTCTCTGTTTGCAACTTGCACTGGCCTTTTTCTAAGCTGAGTCCTATGGCATCTAATAATATCACTGGAATGACATACAGGGCAGACTACATATTATGCATTTGTATATATATATATATATATTATGCATTTGTGCACTGCTTCATCCATTTATGAGAACATCAGGAAGAAAGGCACACAGTTTGGTTTGGACTTACAGCTAAAACAAAGAGTATAATAGAGGCAGCTGTTTTCACAAATTAATCTGCCAATCCCCAAAGCAGTAAGAATGGCATTTTTTACAAAAGCAGAGTAAGCTGAATAACACCTAAAAGCTTAGTAGCTACTTCTGAAAGAGATTTTTAAAGAAAAAAGCAAAGCCTCTAAATTACAGACTGCAATCATTGTAGAATGCCAGATAATTTCTTTTACCAACAAATCTACAATTTCATTACTTGATGCCCCTGGAAAACATAAATTTGATTTAATTTTAGAAAGGGGAAAAACCTTTAAAATACTCTATTGAAGCAATACAAACAATGCAATTGAATTTACAGACTTGATTTTTAATGTGCAGAATCTTAAATATACTAAATATTTATGTAAGTTTCGTTTTGCTTAGAAACATTTTCCACGACTGAAATATGCCAAGCAACCTTTTTTGGGCATGTTCCATTAACACTACTAAAATAAAACACAAAGGCCACAATCTGTGAAGAAGCATCAGTGAGGGATAGCACCAGTTTTAAAAAATACAAACACAAAAACCTGCAAGCTTGTCCACAACACACTCCTACTACTGATAATCACTGTATAATATGGTCAAGATTAAGCCTGCTGTCCCATCTAACTAATGGACATCCAAGACTCTGTAAAGGCACTTTCAGTATTCAAATTTATCTTCATCTAAACAACACTAGTTACAACAACAACTATAATTTTACAGACAAATTGACTGTACTTGCAAATAGATGTGACAGCTCCACTTAGCCAGAAAAAAATAGAGTATATCAGTCTCATGTAGGATGGAAAACTACATTCTCTGCTGACAAAACATCTGAGACAACAGCTTCAGAAATGAACTGGGAGCCAAGATTTTAATAATAAGAGAGAGAGAAAAAGACAGAGGGGTGGGGGCAGTGCAGCAAATTCAGATACTTTAGTCATCGAGTTCTTAAATACTCTAGTGGTAAATAAATACAACTAGGTTTTTCTTGCTGCACCTGCAGGGGACATTCCTATGGATATACCTTCAGGAGACATTCATATACCTTCACGGGGCATTCCTATGGATAACTGCAATTTGCAAATCTGCTTCCTAACATAATGAACAACTCTTTCAACTGGTAACTTAAGGTACGAAAACTGTTGCCAGTTTAAAATTAAGAACACCATTTGGGTCTTTCTGTACTTTTAAACAGCATATCTTAAATAACACTTCCATGCCTCACAGGCTGCAGGAGAACCGGCACTGCTTGCAGGAAACCAGCACTGTGGACGCAGGAGAACCAGCACTGCTTGCAGGAAACCAGAACTGTGGACGCGAAGATTTTATTCTCCCTTACCTGCAACCAGCATCCACGGGGGCTCAATGTTTTCACTCCACCTAGCGGCCTCACCAAAAAAAACCCCAAAGCAACAAAACACTGGATATGCCCTATTAAAGCAATATAAAGGATGACACTTTGCCTCAGGACAAATTATTTAGTACTTGAACAATATGCCACATGTTGGCATTTCTCTGAAAGTCAGACTCAAGTGCTACCAAACATATATAAATGACAGCAAGCAGGCATGGTTTAAACAAAGCTTTTTAACAGTCAAACTTCACATGAAATGGAATAATTTTTTTTAAACATAAATTAAGAAGCTAAAAAGCATATCAAAACCAAACCACAATGGATATTCAACAACAT